GCCGGAACCGATTGTGAAACAAATAGGCAGGAAGAAATGGAGATGGATTGGCTGGCCATACTCTGAGGAAATCACTAGACAAGCCATTGCTCGAGTGGAAGCCGAAAGGGAAGCGGCGAGTTGGTCGTCCAAGGAAGGCTTGGAGGAGGTTTTGTGAAGAGGAGACGAGAGCGTGTGGGCAGACTTAGAGAGGGGAGAAAACGTTTGCAGGGAACCGAACGCCGTGGAGACGCCCGGCCAAAGCCCTATGTTCCTCTAGGAATTAAAGGAAATCATAATAATAAGTCGTATGTAATGAAAATACGAATATCTTTAAGTATATTTTATTTGGTTCCAAGTTAATCAAAATTTTAATAAACATACAATACAACGAGGCGGTTACTTTTCGTAAATGCTCATCAAAGTTGCATAGTTTATATGTATAAGTTTAATGGCTAACAAGGGGCAGAGGTTATTGCCATTTAATAATAAAGATAAGTCAGATTGTATGAGAAAATCCTAGGCTCAGTAATCATGCATAGACTAAGCAGAACTCGGGAGGAACAGACAAGGGAAAATCAAGCAGGCTTTAGACCAGGTAGAGGGTGCATAGATCATATCTTCACTCTTCGACAGATTCTAGAACATAGACACACTTTTCGGCGTCCAACAATTGCCATATTTCTTGACTTGAAGGCGGCCTTCGACTCCGTGGATCGAAAGGTACTATGGCAATGTCTGACTGTGAAGGGAGTGCCAAGAAAGTACGTTGCACTAATCAAGGCACTCTATTCAAACTCACGTAGTCGTGTAAGGGCTTATGGGGAATTGTCATCTGAATTGGTAACAACCAGTGGTGTCCGACAGGGATGTCCACTTTCCCCATTTCTGTTTAACTTCATCATAGATATGCTAATGGAAGTATCCTTAACTGAACGTAGTGACTTAGGAATCGACTTGTTACAAGGGAATAATCTTATGGACTTAGAATATGCAGATGACATAGTCCTGTTAGGGGAGGATGCTGACAAAATGCAGAGTCTTCTGAACACCTTGAGCGGCAATCTTCGTATGTTTGGCATGCGATTCGCCCCTGCAAAATGTAAGATGCTGCTACAGGACTGGACTACGTCAACCCCTAACTTAGTGATAGGGAGTGAAGTGATAGAACATGTTGACCACTTCACCTATTTGGGAAGTTGTATTAGCACCAACGGACTGATTGGCGATGAAATCTCAGCACGGATCCGAAAAGCTCGAGCTGCTTTCGCTGACTTACACCATCTCTGGCGTAGGCGTGACATCCGGTTATCAACCAAGGGACGTGTGTACTGCTCATCAGTTCGCTCCGTCCTTCTCTATGGCTCTGAAACATGGCCAATACGCGTTGAAGACATGAAAAGGTTGACTGCTTTCGATCATAGATGTCTGCGATCTCTTTCTCACGTTAGGTGGTTTAATAAGGTAAGTAATGTTGATGTTAGGCGTAGAGTGTTGGGCAAAGAGGGAAAATCAATCGACGAGGCTATAAAGTTACATAGACTAAGATGGCTAGGTCACGTGCTGCGCATGCCTAACCACCGCCTCCCCCGACGGGCTTTGCTAGCTGATATAGGTTCAGGTTGGAAAAGAGCCAGTGGTGGCCAAACAAAAACAAGGCATCAATCCATGAAATCCTTGACAGTTAAACTGAGTCAGGTAGGGAGATGCAGACTCCCGGGTCGGGGCCCTTGGGACTCCAAGAGTCAATGGCTGGAGACAATAGGTGACATGACTCAAAATCGTTGTCAATGGCCAGCGCAGATGTATTCAGTCTCTGTAATCTTTCATATTCCTTTCTACCATTACCCATTCTGTTTCACTCTTATACTTGTCAAACTCTATTGATTCTCTTCACTCATCTTCTTGTCTACCTCTGTGGGCTATTTGGAACGTGGCAACTCGAACTGCTGCACTTCGGTGCCAAGTTCTATGTTGAATCCAGACAGACAGAAATAACAATCTTACATAATTGAGATAGGCATCTGAAGTGAAGGCAACCAACCGGTGGTGTTACCAAGGAACAGTATTGTTGATGTTAGAGTATGTGGATGATATTATCCTTCTAGATGAAGACGCTGACAAAATGCAGTAGAGTATACTCAACACTTTGAGCAACAATCTTCAAATGTTTGGCATGCGATTCGTTCCCGTCGAATGAAAGGTAATGAGGCTACAGGACTCGAATACATTGAATCCCTCCTATCTTTAAGATAAGCAGGAGTGAAGTGGTTGGTGGAGCGTGTTGACCACTTCACTTATTTGGGGAGTTGCATCAACTAGTGACAACGGACTATCGCTGACGGTATCGCAACACAGATACAGAATGCCGATTGGCATATGACAACTCACGCCATCTCTGGCGTAGAATTGATATACGACTGGCTGTCAACCACAGGATGTGTGTACTGCTCACCATCCTCCTTGATGCTTGACTGTTAGCGAGACATGGCTATTGAAAGTGGAAGACATGAAAAGACCGGGTAACTGTTTTTGATTATAGGTGTCTGGGTTCTACCTCCCGTGTGTGTTAGATGGTATAATAAGGTGAGCAATATTGAGGTTAGGCTTCTTCGGTTCAGTGCTAAGGGGAAATCAGTCGATGAGGTTGTGAAGTCACACTGGTTGAAAGAGATGCTTAGAAAATGTGTTACACATGCCTAACCATTACCTTCCCCGACAACGAGCAATGTCAGCTAACATAGGATGGTTTTGGTTGCAAAAGACCTAGTTGAAGTCAAGCGAAAACGTAACTTCGTCAGTCAATGAAATCCACTAGAGTTAGTTTAATCCGGCCAACCAGCCAGCCAGCTACGTAGGGAGGGAGGTGTAGACTTCCTGACTGGTTAGGATCCTCGGAATGATAAGAACTAATGATTGGAGACAATAACTGGTATGGGTGGAAATCGTTCTCAATGGCTGGTACAGTTGCAATCACTCTATGTGATCCTCCATACCCACTAAACCATCCTGTTTTTCTGTGTTATTATGATTTCTCCTGCACATCTTTGCTTAGTCTTTTTTATTTCGAATATGATTTTTTAATAAATGTGTAAAACTTGGGCACTGTGGTAGTAAGTAATTCTCTGTTAGTTTGTTTATTAAATGTAGTTTTAAAACTCATAAAACTCAAGTTTCGTAGTTGTGTGATTATAATTGATGAAATAAATATGAACAATGAAACTTTTGTTCGAAACTGTGTCATCCAGTGAATAATACTGTTTCACAGTCCGTGTGATACATCTAATAAACAAACTAATCTGATTTTTTGTTTTTTTTGTCAACCATTTTATGCTACATGTAATATGGTAGCTTGACTGGTACGCTTGTGTGCACAGTCAATCGATTGCATAATTGAGAATGTGTACAACTAGTTAATTACGTGATGAATAATTTTTTTTCTGAAGATAATTTTGATAAGAAACCAGAATACAAATAGGTCACAAAAAATCACATGGCGTGTATTATGTACCAAATCAGAAAAAAAGGAATCGATTCTGAGGCTATGGTTGAATAAAAAGGTTTATTAACACATAAATATAGAATTTTGTCTCATGGGTGGGTGACAGTAACTTCATGTGCCCGAAGATGAAAGCGAAATCCTTTTGACTGACTGAATTTTTACCTTATATATGACTTGGAATGAGTTCATCTGTTGACACTTCTCTGGTCTCCTCTTTTCAATAATCATGATGATAGGTGTTCATGATTACCTCTGAACAGTATCCTGCTGAGCAAAAGCATGCGTGTGGAAAGTGAAGCGTAGAGATACAGAAAGGAACGTTCTTTGACAACTTCAAGTGACTTCACTAATTGTATCTCCTTTCAGTTTGAGATTTAAATTTAGTTGTATCTAAGGCACATCTAGATTTCATGGAGCATAGGTCGTCTCTTTAAATGTTTATCGATTAAGGAAGTTAGATATCTATTCTTAATTAGAATGTTTTTGAACGATTTCAATTCCTTACTCTCAATGTGTCTTCAGTGGGACTGTGACAGTTTCTTTTCACAAAAGAGGCGATGAGATTTCTTTTTCTCTTCGTACTGCGACAAAACTATGACAGTTAACCAAACGGTACATTTCATTTTGGTTTATGGTAAATAGGTCTTTACGGAGATCCATTCCTTTTTCTTGAAAGCTGAATATCTTGGACGTATAATTTACCTAAGAGTGGAAGACATGAAAAGATTAGCTGTCTTTGGTCATAGGTGCCTGCGCCCTATATCCCGTGTGAAGTGGTATAATAAGGTGAGCAATATTGAGGTTAGGCTTCGGTCGAGTGCTAGGTAGCTGGGAGGGGAAATCAATCGACGAGGCTGTGAATTTACATAGACTGAGATGGTTAGAACATGTGTTACGTATGCCTAGTCATCGCCTTCCTCGACAGTGGGGAATGTCACCTGACATAGGGTCAGACTGGAAAAGAGCTAGCGGCGGTCAAACCGAAACATGGCTTCATCAGTCAATGAAATCCAGATGCATCCACTCCTTGTGACTTATCATTTCCAATGAAACTATATTGTTCTTCGTTATTACTATTCCTTTTGTCTCATATCCCTGTCTACTGTCTCTATTATGCATTCCTTGTACTTTCTTCTCTTGCTATGTGTGCTACAAGGAGGGAGTGTGGCGACTTGAACTGCTGCACATCGGTGCAAAGTTCTATATCGAAAACAGACAGTCAGACATAATTTACTTTCTGACTTAACCTCATACCGAAAGTTGACTGATCGGTAGACATCGTTAGGGTTATATCCGAGATTTCATTCCACTCAGTATTTTCAATGGTAATGATAAAAATCTTGTCCATATATCGCTTGTGAAACTTTGAAGAATTGATGATTGGTGGTCGGTTGAAGCCTACTGGATTCCTAATCTTGTCGTCGTCATCGTTGTTATATTTGACCACTGGATTTTAATCTCATCGAATATTCAAAGAAAAAGATTTTATTCCGTATTTGTTTGGTGTTTTCATTTTCAGCTGGTCAAGTTGGTGTTTTGGAGAAGAATCTTTGCGACGTTATGAAAGGTGGTAAAGGCAATGTTGCTAAGGTAAGCTCTATGTTGATACTAATTAATTTAAATCCCATATATATATAATTAAGAATAATAATTTAAGTTAGGGACCGTGTGCAAATTCGAAAAGGATATTTATTCTTTGCTAAATTATTTTGTGTTTTAATAGATGTTTGAATGAATATTTTTGATATATTGAAATCTTCTGAACATCATTTTGCGTTGAAAGTACTCAACGATTATTTTGAAGGACAACGCAAGGCTCAGCGAATCGAAGACTACTGTTGACTTTATCTACCAGTGTATTGAAATAAACCGGTATCCTAAATCTTATTGTAAATCTCTACGTCGTAACAGAGTCCGGTCTAATGATAAGACACTCAAATGTCATGCTCTTAATCAAACTGACTCATTTCAAACGTATATTACGGAGTTATCGAAGAACGTAACAGAAACGTTTTATGCTGTCGACGAATTACTAGGAAACTTAAAGAAACTATTTTTAGATTATGTCGATGTAATTGTGAGTAATAGGAAAGAAAAGAAATGCATGAAACTGTTACAGAGTTTGGAGAACAAGGCACCTGAAACAAGATTTCCTCTGAACCCAAATCAGTTTGTGTTTAATTTTTCGGATGTAATACTTAGTGAAGTGGATCTGCAGGTTTTATCGCTTGGCCCTAAATTTTGTGATAGCCATGTAAAAAATTAACAAAATGGATGCACAAATTCAGTTTGAATGTCTCTACACTCAAACGGAAGGCCTCATGGAACACTGGTCGATTGTTGCTATTATTACATGAATAGTAAACGCAATTCGGATAGTATCTTGACCAAGAAACATAGAGAAGCTCTGGATGTTCTCCGTAAAAATGATAACATAATAATAACAAGACCGGATAAGGGCTCAGGAGTGGTTATTATGAACAAATCGGATTACTTTGAGAAGATGAATACTATTCTTAATGATAATCTAAAATTCCAAAAAGTCTCCTCTTCTCTGGATCCGATTGAAAAGATAGAGAAACAGTTAGCGGAAACATTCAGAAGACTGAAACAACAACAAGGCTTCATCTCACAGAGTCAGTATGCATCACTTAAACCCACTGGAATGTTCACACCAAGACTATATGGCTCGCATAAAGTGCACAAAAATGGTGTACCGCTTCATTACTGTGGCCATCTAGGTTTGAATGATCCTGAATTTTTGTGGAATTTTCCCAATTTTAGTTGATATTCTATCTGCTAATATATATCTTTATTACTATTATAATTTAAGCATCTTTAATGAACTGTGGTTATTCCATTGTGATCTTACCTAACAAATCGATATTATTTAAAAAACCACCAATATTGTTATTGACTACTAAATCTAGAATGTCCTATGTATATAAAAATATAATATAATTGTAGAGCCAGAAGAGGAATTTATCAAAAAGGATATCCTTTGCTCGATTATTTTGTTTTATACATTTATATGTGCTGGTCAGTGAACCACACTCAATGTCATTTTGTCGTGTGAGCTGATCCAGGTGGATCGGCGTTTTTTTCGGTTGAGTAATTTAAATGGATTAAGCCAACAAATCACGTCTATACGTTATCTTAGTTGGAGGTTGAAAAAAATTATCTCTGATATCTCACTTTTAAGTGATATAGAGATTTTTGTATTGTCGAACCGATGCTTTAACGTTACATACCATGAATTGAAGTCAAATGATGATGCAGATTCGAGCAGTATTTTAGGCATTTTCTCACCTTCTCTCATATAGAGAATATTTCATAACTTTACATCTTTAAAGTAGTAGGAAGTGAGAGTGTGACTTGCCACACAACATATCTTCACATCATCTAGATGGTAATAAGAGGGAGGGCAGATGAAATTGGAGGTGTAACTATCATCAATAGTGGGACAGTCCTGTAAGATGGATGATGAGAAAGGTGGTTGGAGGTAACTGGCAAGAGGTACTGCACACCTAGGTCTCGTACTTGGTGATGTCGGTCAGCAGGGTGTATCTACCGCCTCGAAGGAATTGATATCCTCTCGAAGATTCCTTCGTGGCTGCACGTGTGCGCCTTGCTAGCGAGTGTCAGGAAGTAAGAAATCTCGATCCAGAGTTCCTTATCGATTGTCCCTAACCCCCCATTCCAATACTAATTTAGGGCCACCTAGCGTGGCGGTCACCTTGCTAACTTGACTGATAGAATAGTTCACGAGCTCATCTAGCAACCAAAAGGTCCTAGACTCGAGCCCCAGCGGTGAAAACAATGAGGAGTCCTAAACTAAGATGAAACAACTAATAAGTGCTCCCAGGTTTTCCAGTGGTTCTCTAACTGACGTCAACTTGTGATCAAACCTGTAACAGATCAAATCCCTGGACAAACCAACTCTTCATAGAATTCAGTCAACCATCAACTCAATGGACTAGAAATATGGCGAAAAAAATGCTATGTGGGGTGTGATTATGATGAAATATAAATGCACTTGCACTAGCGTGATCGATTCTGAGACAAGTTATAATAAACATGTGATTTACAAAACTTTTGTGTCTTTATTATTCCGAGGCTTTTTCATTTTATTTTTATCATTCCTAATGACAGTAGTAGTTTACAGAACATTTTAGTTTTTCATTTTTAGGGAAATTGCGTTTCTCCTATTCCGATGCACTTGGTGTTTCTGTATGAAGAAAATTCAATTATGTCATGTATTTACTTCATATCTTTTGTACTTCATTCATATTTCTAACCAATTTTTGATTCATAGTTATCTAAACGAACATATATAGTGCACTCCAGTATTTGCACTCAATGCCAAACTTTAACACACATATTTACAATCAGCATTAATTGTTATCGATAGTGAGATTTTCTATAGTTTGGTTTGTGTAAGGGTTAGTTATGGTTTTACGAGTTGATCACGAATTGATATCAGTTAGAGAACCATTGAAAACCAGCACTGGAGGACTGGACAGCTGCTGTTTCATCCTAGTTTGGGAATCATCGGCAGCACGCACCCACTGGGATTTGAACCCAGGACCTTCCGGTTACAAGGCGAGCTCGTATACCATTCAGCCACTGGGACCCGGTTCAATGGCCACTGCATGAATTCTAACTTCTACCAATTCGTGATTTAGCGTGACCCCAACCAGTGGGTGCGTACTGCCGATGATTTCCAAACTAGGACGAAACAGCAGCTGTCCAGTACTCCAGTGCTGGTTTTCAATGATTCTCTAATTGATATTGAGATTATTCTGAGGATAGACTTGAGTTATTGGTGTAGGGGGAGTGATGATGGAATGTGTGTAATGAAAATCATGTTTGCACAACCCAGTGGCTTTGGAATTACTAGCTGACCTGTACATTACTCATGGGGAGTAGTGTAGTTGGGTGTCGTAGGTTAGCCGTCGGTAGAGCGCTAGATTGATAACTGACGTCAATTTGTGACCTACCTTGGAATCAATAGAATCCGTATGAAGCGACAATTGAAAATTAATGATTTATTATTTTATTTGCTAAAGTCCTCGGTTTACGTTTCAATGAAGGTTATTCATTTAACTTGAATGCATGGTTCAGGATTAATCACAATATTGCATCTAATTTCCTCAAATTATAGATAAAATTAATCACACAGAAAATTTTCCACATTTACAATAGGGGTTATGCCAAAAACATGCAGCATATAAAATGGAAATAATAAGGATAACAGTTAGGGTAATGATAATAATACAAGTGAAAATTGCTGTGGGCTTCTTTCACACTGTATTGTCGATTCGGTATAGAAATCCTAGCATGTTCAAAAATATTGAATATAATGTTCTCTTTAAATGATATGGTGATTGGAAAAACAAAAATTACAGCAGTCATAGAGTTAAGTTCGTGTTTGCAATTCTGAAAGTAAAACAAACAAAGAAGCAACGGGACCATAAATATAATAGAAACAATAAAAGTAAAACTTGAAGGTATATAAGGATGGATGGAGGAAATTTTTTATTTACTAGACGAAAAAAGGTTAGTTAATTCTTGCCTGACACTGTTTTCATCACATAAAATACGTGCCAAGTATGGTATCAGAGAATTTCTATACTTAGACGTGCGAGCATACAGTTTTGTGAAGTTACTTCTTGTTCTAACTGAGGAGATGCAAGGTGAAAGCTGAGGGTAAAGTGGATGCTCCAAGTCAGACAAAATTTACTACACGTGTGGTGAGAGCAGTCTGCTAGCCAATTGGTTGACATTAATCTACGTCAATGTCTAGGTCACTATTATGGGCCGTGGGAAAGTATGAACAAGGCTGTTTCAACAACCAATCTCAGCAAACTTAAACGTTGGCAAATATGATTCGCAGATAGATGGCTCCACTTTCCGAGGAACTCGAAAACAACCAATCAGAAGACTGCGTTTGTCTACTTGACTAGGCTATAACAATGTGTGTGAAATTTATATAAATACGTGTTGATTTCCGTAATAAAACGATCTGTTGCCTGGCCCTTGTCTTCTGTTGTTACACACGAAGTCAAGTACCTATCGACAACGACATTAAGTATGTGATCCACTTGGACACCGCTCACCCTATTGACCGTCTTCAGCATTCTACGAATTGTGACATAGTCCTTTTTAAGCAAACCAGGAAAGAATAATGGTGAACAATAAAAAAGGTTAGGTAGGATGCAAGAGTTTATGAACTGTAAGAGGAGGGGTTGAGTTATACCCTAGTGCCTTAACTTCTTTATGTAAAATGTCAGGTGGAATATTTTACTGGAAATCGCTAAGACATGGGAAGTCCAGGAGAGATCAGAAGAGAGAATAAGTCCAAGATACTTAATTTCTGATTTAATTCTTATATCATTGTCGTCAATCTTACAACTGTCATGAGAATCGATGACTTCTATTAACTGTCTTTTACTTCTTAAGCTGAAGATTTATAGCTTGGTTGGTCGACATTTCTGTAGTTGTGTTCTCTAAGCTGGATGGTACAGTTACGAAGCTTTCATTGTCTTTCTAGATAACGTCTTCATCACCGACTTCAAATTCGAAGTGAGCTGTTGGAATTCTCCACGAGTTTATCGGCTATCTTTGCTGGTGAACCCCAACATGATTGGTTGTTTCTGGATATTGATTATTTTCAAGTATTGGTTTGTAGGGATTTGGTTGATTGGTTACAGGATTTCATCATGAGCTGACATTAGTTGGAGAACCATTGGAAAACCTGGGAGTACTGGACAGCTATTTCGTCCTAGTTTGGGACTCTTCAGCGGTACGCTCTCACTGGGGTTCAAACCCAGGACCTTCTGGTTACAGGCGAGCTCCTAGACCGTTGAGCCACTGGGACCCGGTCCAATGGTCCTTGAATTCCAACTTCTGCCAATTCATTACATAGCGCGACCCCTAGCCAATGTCTTCGGTGAGTATTTGTCCTCACACCCGACCTGCTGCACCCTACTGGTCACGACTTCTCATTAGAACCCCAGGTAAATACCTACCTGAATAGGGCTAGTTGCTAGTGAGCATCTCATTGTTATTCAAGTATTGGTTTGTAGGGGTTTGATTGAACTCATGGTGAAATCCTGTAACCAATCAACCAAATCCCTACAAACCAACACTTGCGAATTTCTTCTAGCAAATTGGTTGCATGAAATAAAGTGCCTATCATCAGTGACAATGTCAACGATATGGTTCAATGGGATACTGTCACTCGCCCTACTGACCAACAGTCTTCAGGTTCTACGAAGTATGACATAGTCTTTTTAGGAATCCAGGAAAGAATAAGGAAGGGTGGTCAGAATATGTAAGATGCACGAGTTGACAAGCTGTAAGAGAAGGAGGAGGAAAGTAGGAGTAGGGATTGAGTTATGCCTGAGTGCCTTAACTTCTTAAATCGGGACACAGAGAGATGTTGAAGCTGTTAATAATACCTTACCCCGCCAGTAGTGTTCCTATACTTGTGCCGTAAAGTTTGAATCTCTTGCAATTAACAAAAGGACTAATAGGGTCTTAATCATAATAATTTTCAGTCTTTCTTATCCTATTTCAGTTTATTTATTCATATTATTAGACATGTATATCTGTTTAATTGACGGTGGCATGAACTTTATTTCTCCTTAAGTATTTGTAATACAGATCATCATATAGTATAGTCCCCAATGAAAAAAGTGGCAAACGCATAATTTTTTAATTCGAACAGTTTTTTTCAGCGTTTAGAGTTAATCTCAGAACCATTATTTAAATTATTTACTTCTTTATTACTTCGTTCCTTTTTCTCTTAAAAATAATTTATTTTTTTAGTATGATGGATATACTGCATGCCCCTTAGTGACTGGATATAATCGAGGTATTATCGCTGAATTCGATTATTCCATGCAACCGCTGGAAACACTTCCTATTGATCAAGGTAAAGAGCGTTATATATTCTACTTTATGAAGACATTTGTCCTACCGCCTATCTACTGGGATTGGTTTATAAAGTGAGTTTTTTTTTGGTTGTTTGTTTTGTGTATATATCGAAAGAATTTCGCGTTGCATACCTTTCGTACAGATTAGTTTTTAACGTTTTGATAGTGTACATCACAACACTGCTCCTCATCTGGAATAATACAGAAGACTGTCTGATTATGTCGGAAGCACAGCAGCAACATCCAGCGCCAATCACCATCAACGGAAAAGATTTGAAAGAGGTTACTTCATTCACCACTTATCTAGGCAGCATTGTCTCAACTACAGGCAGTCGGAACGGACGAGGATGTCAAATCGAGCGAGAATCGGGAAGGCGAGAAACACATTCATCAACCTGAAACCAGTCTGGAAATCTTCGTCACTCGGCCAGCATCAACAACAAAATTCGGTCGGATTTTCAATACAAACAACGTCAAGTCAGTCAGTTCTTTTATACGGATGAGAAACTTGGCGGGCTGGTCACAAAGAATATTTCCAACAGCCTGTTGCAGGCCTTTATCATCAACAACTATCTTCGCTGGATCTATACTGAAGATCAGATGACCGGGCCGGAAAGAATCACCAACAAGAAACTATGGCTGGGAACAAACAAAACAAGAAACAATCGCCGCCCAACAAATATGCAGGAGAAAGTGGAGATGGATTGGATACTCACTCTCTGAGGAGGCTGCCGCTGGGTGACATTGCGTGCGCGTTAGGCGATTGCTCGAGTGGAACCAGGCCGAAAGGGAAGCGGCGAGTGGGACGTCAGTGTCAGGGTGACATGGAGGAGGAGATCGTGCGAAGAGGAGTTGAAACAGTATGGACTAACATGGATGCAGGTACAGCAAGTACAGGAGAAGACAGAAGCAAGTGGAGAGGTGAAGTCGAAGCCCTATGTTCCACTAGGAACCCAAGGGAACAATAATAATAAATTAGTCTCAACAATGGCAGTTCAAAATAAGTTAGATCTGCACACATATACACATATTCTAGCAAAAGTAGGTTAAGATTTGTGTGAAATATTCCCATATCATGGATTAAAAGTCAATCTGAACGAAGAATATTCTTTTCAATAATTTCTCTTCAGGTTCCGCAGCATAACTGGCCATTATTGTAACAACAAGAAATATTATATTTTATAAGTGTAAGAACCTGAAGAGAAATTATTGAAAAGAATATTTTTCTTTCAGATTGACTTTTAAAAGTGGACTAATTATGAAAGTCTGAGGTCAAATTTTGATTACAGTTCATACAATTTTGTTTATTATACATGTTGATACCTGTTTTATGATTCATATGATTATTGGACAAAGCTTTTAAAGACAAGAGATGTTCCTTTTATATATAAACATAGAATTTTGTTAGGACAAGACATATAAGCGAACAATATTGTTTTCAATTAGATCTTCAGGTTTTACTTTTGTTTATTATACATGTTGATGCCTGTTTCATGATTCATGTAATTCCTTTTATACATAAACCTCTATTATGTTAATTTCGATTAATTCACCTGAAGAAGTTCCGACCAGATTGCCGAACGAAACGTTGGAATTATTCATTTCAATTTCGCTGAGATTTTACAAATATAATTTTTGCAAATGAAAGTTTATTGTGATTATAGGTTTCCAGACCGTAGGTGTTACGAACTTCCTGGAATAATTTGAGCGCCGTTGATGATTAATAGTAATCCGAATAAATCTGCTGAAGAAGAAGAAGTGGCTTACACGGCGAAACGATCAGAAAAATCTTGTTTTGATTTTCTTAACACGCTGGATTAATTTAAATAATTATAATGAAAGTTATTGTGTTATCTCTTTGTGGCCGTTTCTCGGAAAATCAAATCAGATACCTGTAAATCATATTTCCACGGTTTAACTACGCTGTGGATTGGCTGGTGATTTTCTCAAGGTTAAGCTTTGTTATTGTTGTTCTCATGACCCTGATTCGGAACGTGGAATGTTGACGTAAATTGTTGTCTCCAATTTTGACTTGCAGACAGCTGTCACCGCAACCTTAGTTTCCAGCTTACAGCTTACATGTTCATCCTGTATAGCCAGGTTATGTGTATACACTACTACAGAGTGTATTGCGTGCCTCCCCAAAGGACCATTCACTATTTCACTACACAGTAGCGTATCTAGTCTGAAGTTACGCCGATTGACATGGTTAGAACATGTTGTGTGTGCCTATCCACCGCTTTCCTCGACAGGCTATGTTAGCTGACATAGGATGGCTCACGTCGGAAAAGAGTCAGTGGTAGTCAAACCAAAACATGGTTTCATCAGTCAATGAAATCCACAAGAGTTAGTTCAAGCCAACCAGCTAGCCACGTAATGAGGGAGGTGTAGACTTCTTGAGTGGTTGAAGTGTCCTCGGGATGCTAAGAACTAATACTTGGAGACAGTTGGGTGATATGGCTCGAAATCGTTGTCAATGGCTGGCGTAGATGCATTTTCACTCTTTCAGAGCTGTTATATCCCATGAAACTCTATTGTTCTTCCATATTACTACTCTTTTTCCCCCACTCATACTTCTGTTTATTGCCTGTTTGTCTTTTGGTTCTTTCTTTAATCTGTTCTCTTGCTTTGTCTGGTACATGGAAGGAGAGTGGCAACTCAAACTGGTACTTATCGGTGCATAATTTGACGTTGAGACCAGCCAGTCAGTGTGAATATGGCTGCATTTTTCCAACTTTTGTGCCTGTTCTTATTATAACGATTATTGAGGTGTTTGGTTTTCAAAAAGGGTAGAATTAAATTTAGCAAATTTTTAGCTGTGTTTTAAAGAGCTTTAACAGTGTTTCTGAAAAAATGTCTCAAAATGCGTGTGTCAAATGAGATACCATGAGCAGACACCTTCCACATCCTGAATTGTAGATATCTATCGCCATTGTGCATATCAGCTGGTAAAGCTCTGCATAACTGCCTACAATCTCGTCAGGTAGAATTATTTGCAATATCTCTTATCTGACGACTGGACATATACCACATTATCATCTGTGAATGTGTGTCTTTTTAGTCCTTGTCTACCATCCACATGGTCACAGGTTTAAATTCCACTCCACCTGTGTAGGTTTGAACATCCCGGCAGTATCACTGGTAATCACTTAAGAGGTGTGGTTCATCACCAGCTGCATGGAATTGTAAGTATCTGTTGAGTTGTATTCAGATACACCATCTTATCTTTTAAAATTTAATGGGGTGGGAATTGCAAGGGATTTGAACTTGTGTGCCATTAGTCTAGATCTAATTATTTGTTTAAGCTAACGATTCGTAATTTATCTCACTCATCAATTTCAATCAGAACTTCTATCCTAATTTTGTCGTTTTTTGTGAATTGTATAACGCATAATCTTATGATTAATTAAGCTGGCACCTTCCAATTTTGCTTTCTCCGTTATATTAATTACACTGGTCTACATTTTTTCATACATGACTCTACCTTGTTTTTTCTTTAACCCTTTTTCTATAGTGGATATTGGTCTGGTCCAAAGCCTTTCCGTAATCTTCTTCATTTGAAACGACCTTCGTATACACCAGCAGAGAAGTAAACACCGGTGGATTTCTACTCCTCGAGGCGAGGGCATGTGGTGGTTGGTTGGTTGGTTGGTCGGTCGAGTTACTGCAATCTTATATACCTTAATTTTTCGATTGTCACTTGTTAAAACCCCCAATAATCTGTATCTGTGGTAATTTTCCTCTAACTAAGGAAAAATATTGTAATAATAATAATATTAATAATATCTGCCTTATCTTCATACTTTATTCTGTATTTTCGAGTGCCCTTTCATTGTGTTGCGTAATCGCACAGTCTCTGTTTTCTTTCCTCTTTTCTGTTTTGAGAGGTGAGTTTTGCCTTTTAAGAAAAGCTTTTATTTTTCACAAACACATTCATTTATATTTATGAAACATTATGGGACAATTAATGCTCGGTGTGATTGTGTGTGTGATAGATACTATTGCTTACCTGCCTTATTCCCAGTGTGACTACACAACAAGCTGTCCATTGCGCCGCCTCACTGTCATTCATCATTATTGTGATTTCTCAATTGCTGCTGCTTTTTTCGTTGTCACCACTAATATTGTTATTATTATTATTTTCCTTTTTGATTCACCTTTCGCCTAATACAATAGTGAACACAATAATTATTTTGTAATGCAAAATAAATTAATAAATAAATATACTTTTTCCTTACAGTTATTTCTCTGAATGAATTTGAACAAAACAACAATAACGAATTGGGCAGGATATTATTTTCGGTAGTTTTCCTTTCAGATATGCTTGATGTCAGTATAGAAATATTTAAACTATTATTGCTATTATTAATTTCTTTGGGTTCTGTGTGGAGTCTAGAGCTTCAATAGAATGTCTCTATTTCGTCCTGTTCTCTGCAGTTCTCTTTAACTGACTCTACACGATTCCACGTAAGCTTCCATCCCCGTCCTCCTCCTCCTCCTCTTTACACAATCTCCTGCATGTCCACCTCGACCCAAGGCTTAAATCGTCATTTTCCTTTCGGGCGATGGCCTGGCGTACGTTGTCACCCAGCGGTCTTTTCAGCGTATATTCGATCCTTCTCCCCTTTTTCTTTGGCTTACATGTTGAGCAATACGATCTTCATTAGTTCGTTCCCAGGGTTTCTTCTTGCGAAGAGAGCTGTTGATAAAAGTCGACAGTAGCCTGTTGAAAATGCTGTTCTCGACGTGCCAAGTTTCTGAACCACATATATAAGGACTCACTGACTTAACATTGGTGTTAAAAATTTCAAGTTTGTTATTTATGCTGAGTGAAGAAGATTTTCAAACTGATGAAGACTTCAATATGGCAAAAATATTCATTCAGACATCTATAAAATACAAAATAATCGAGCAAAGGATATCCTTTTTGATAAATTCCTCTTCTGGCCCTACAATTATATTATATTTTTATATACATAGAACATTCTAGATTAGTAGTCAATAACAATATTGGTGATTTTTTAAATGATATCGATTTGTTAAGTAAGATCACAAGAATGCAGGATCATTCAAACCTAGATGGTCAAGGTAAGGATAATGTCTGAACTAACTTCTTTTGGATGGACAAATTAGGCTTCTTAATCTGGACCCCAACAGCCTCAGCAATATTTAGTAGACGAACTCTTAAGGCGAAAGTCTGTCTGGATTCAACATAAAACTTGGAACCGAAGTGCAGCACTTCGAGTTCCCACGTTCCAAATAGCACACAAAGGTAGACAAGAAGATGAGTGAAGAGAATCAACAGAGTTTGACAAGTATAAGAGTGAAACAGATTGGGTAATGGTAGAAAGGAATATGAAAGATTACAGAGACTGAATACATCTGCGCTGGCCATTGACAACGATTTTGAGCCATGTCACCTATTGTCTCCAGCCATTGACTCTTGGAGTCCCTAGGGCCCCGACCCGGGAGTCTGCATCTCCCTACCTGACTCAGTTTAACTGTCAAGGATTTCATGGATTGATGAGGCCATGTTTTTGTTTGGCCACTACTGGCTCTTTTCCAACCTTCACCTATATTAGCTGGAAATGCCCGTCGGGGGAGGCGGTGGTTAGGCAAGCGCAGCACGTGACCTAGCCATCTTAGTCTATGTAACTTTATAGCCTCGTCGATTGATTTTCCCTCTTTGCCCAACACTCTACGCCTAACGTCAACATTACTTACCTTATTAAACCACCTAACGTGAGAAAGAGATCGCAGACATCTATGATCGAAAGCAGTCAACCTTTTCATGTCTTCAACGCGCATTGGCCATGTTTCAGAGCCATAGAGAAGGACGGAGCGAACTGATGAGCAGTACACACGTCCCTTGGTTGATAACCGGATGTCACGCCTACGCCAGAGATGGTGTAAGTCAGCGAAAGCAGCTCGAGCTTTTCGGATCCGTGCTGAGATTTCATCACCAATCAGTCCGTTGGTGCTAATACAACTTCCCAAATAGGTGAAGTGGTCAACATGTTCTATCACTTCCCTCCCTATCACTAAGTTAGGAGTTGACGTGGTCCAGTCCTGTAGCAGCATCTTACATTTTGTAGGGGCGAATCGCATGCCAAACATACGAAGATTGCCGCTCAAGGTGTTCAGAAGACTCTGCATTTTGTCAGCATCCTCCCCTAACAGGACTATGTCATCTGCATATTCTAAGTCCATTAGATTATTCCCTGGTAACAAGTCGATTCCTAAGTCACTACGTTCAGTTAAGGATACTTCCATTAGCATATCTATGATGAAGTTAAACAGAAATGGGGAAAGTGGACATCCCTGTCGGACACCACTGGTTGTTACCAATTCAGATGACAATTCCCCATAAGCCCTTACACGACTACGTGAGTTTGAATAGAGTGCCTTGATTAGTGCAATGTACTTTCTTGGCACTCCCTTCACAGTCAGACATTGCCATAGTACCTTTCGATCCACGGAGTCGAAGGCCGCCTTCAAGTCAAGAAATATGGCAATTGTTGGACGCCGAAAAGTGTGTCTATGTTCTAGAATTTGTCGAAGAGTGAAGATATGATCTATGCACTCTCTACCTGGTCTAAAGCCTGCTTGATTTTCCCTTGTCTGTTCCTCCCGAGTTCTGCTTAGTCTGTGCATGATTACTGAGCCTAGGATTTTAGAGACTATGTTCGTTAGGCTGATCCCCCTATGATTATCACACGAGGACTTGTTTCCCTTCTTGAATATCGGTATAATAAGTGACTTACCTGATAGGATCCCGCGTATTTTGGTATTGACTGTTTAATCTTGCATATATGGTATGTTATCATTCTCACACATTTTGGTATTTACTGATAATCTTGTATATATGGTATATTATCATTCTCACACATTTTGGTATTGACTGCCAATCTTGTATATATGGTATATTATCATTCCCACACATTTTGTTATTGACTGTCAATCTCGCACATATGGTATATTATTATCTCTCACGCACTTTGTTATTGGCTATTAAGATCAATTATTTCAAATGCTGTTAGCTGTCCATATTGTTGTAAAATGTATAAATACCATGGCTTTCTTTGTCGTTGTTGCACTTCAATACACAGTCACAGTCCAGCCTTTGTCTTTTGGTATTTGCGTGCTTTACTAAATCGGAAGGTACGACAAGCAGATAGGCAGATTAGTTCAGGCGCAGACAGAGCAAGGTGAAAACGTCTTCATTCAATTCCCCACAGTTATAACAAATTGGCGACGGGGTTTACCTTAATTCAGTGCAGTTATAACATTACCCCAGTCTGATGGAACTGTCTCTGATTCCCAGACTTTGCCTAGTACCTCAGTTAATCTACAAACTAGTATGTCACCCCCATATTTAAACACCTCCGGAATAATTCCGTCGGGTCCTGCCGCTTTGCCTCGTTTCAAATTACTGATAGCTTTTGTGACCTCACTTACAGACGGCGGACCAGTGTCTATATCCCATTCGGGTGTGTGTGGATGTGGGGGTGGGTCAGTGTGGCTGTAGGCAAGTTAAATTGTCCTCAAAGTGTTCTTTCCAGCGTTCAAGGCGTCTATCCTGAGAGCTAATTAAGGAGCCATTTTTCTCAGAAATAGTCTCACTTATGATTTGCCTTCTCCCACCCGTTTCCTGATGAGTCTAAAGAGTTGCCTAGTGTTGCCTATCGCCGATGCTTTTTCCATCTCTTTGCCTTTGTCACCCACCACTGTTCACGGTCCTTGCGGAGACTTTTAGTAAGTTTCCTTTTGTGCAGCTTTCGCTCCTCATTGAATTCGGAGCTCGCCGGAATAAGTCTTCTAGCATCTATCAGTTCGGATGAGGCAGTCGAAATCCAGTGGTTTTTACTCACCTTTGGATTTGTCTTATTCACAGCTTTTACAGCTGTATCTATAGCTGACTGAATATTCTTCCAGGCTTCTCCAGGGTGAGCACAGCTGTCGAACTCAGATATGCGTTTAGCTAGTTCTTCCTCAAATAGGGATTTAGTTTCCTGATCGAGCTGGGGACGTGATGGTTTTACCGCCAGCTGTTTCCTACGTCCGTTCAGTCGTAAGCACACACGAGCCCGGACCAGTGCGTGATCGGTATCTACACACGTGTTCCAGAAGGAGCGACAATCTCCTACCGACCCACGCCAACGATAGCTTATTGCTATGTGGTCTATTTGTGTCCAGCGTTGGTTTGATGATGGGGGTCGCCAGGTTAAACAGTGTCTCTCCTTGTGTTTAAAGTTAGTGCTTACAAGAAACAAATGATTATCTGAACAGAACTGTAGGAGACGGTCACCGTTGTCGGTTCGCTGGCACGGAACTCCATAGGTGCCACCGACATCCTTCTCAGATTGACACAATTTCCCTACTTGAGCATTAAAGTCACCAGCTAGAACGACTATATCTGAGCGTTTAGCCTTTCTCACCAAACTAGACAGCTTTTGGTAGAACTCATCCTTCGTTTCATCCGAACTGCAGTCAGTGGGGGCGTAGGCGGAGATTACGAAAAGGCATCGGCGAGTAGTGCAGTCCTTTCTCCTTCTTACTGATCCGTTCAGACGGACAGCACACATTCGGCTAT